GAAAAAAATAAAAAAAATATTATAAGGTTTATTTCTTTTTTTTATACTTATCATAGATCATTTTTTTATTGGATTTCGATTTTTTATTTAATTTTCTTTAAAATGATATCCAAAACGTTGAACAAACTTTTTCATTTTAAAAAAAATTTTTTAAAAAAAAAAAAAAATTCAAAACCTTTTAGATGAATATAGGAACTTGTCCTTATCTCGTGCATCACCAATTGAAAAGAATATAAAGTACAAATATTTGAAGCTCATTTAAGTCCGGATTGTCAAACCAATCAAAAGATTTCATTAAATATTCTAATATCATATATTACCTCACCATAACCATCAATTAAAATAATCAAAATAACAAATAACAATAAGTAAAAAAATATAATAAGTTTAATTTAAAAATTATCATTTCAGATTTCATTTTTAAATTTCATAAAGAGTTAGTTTTATAACTATAGATTAAACATTAATTAATAAAAATAAAGATTAAACATTTATTTTAAATAACTTTTATTATCTTATTTCATTTATATTATTATTATTTTTTTATTGGTTTTCATTTTTTTTATTGTTTTACAATTATTTATATCAAGTGAAACATTTTCTTTAACCTTCTCTAGTTTTTTCTAATCTATGAATTTCCATTTGCTATTCCGTTTCTTTAACTTTGAAACCTGTTGCAGATAATTTATTGGAATTAATTTCTTCTTTTAAAGCAACCTTTGCTGCTCCAGCTCTTGCAGCGGAAACTAATAAAAGTTTGAAACATTTTGTACACTCTTTGCAGCATTTGTAAGTTTATGTCGTGATGGACTATTAATATATTTTTTTCAAGCAGAAGCAAGTAGAAAGGTAGCGGCAGTGACAGCAATAAGAGCCTCTTCAGTACCACCTATAATTTACAACCCAATCTTTATTGTCGGTATCTACCAATGCTTTGATAGCGGCAGCAACAGCTTTAGCAGTAGAAATTAAACCTTCAACCCAAGTTGGATCTTTTCTATACATTGGACCACCATCACTAGTTTTACCTTTTTCGGCACGTTATCAGTGAGACAATGTCTCAGTGCCAACCAAAGTTGATGTAGCACTAGTGATTTATGGTTGTTTTCATCGGTTATTTGAATTCGTGACTATCCACAAGTTTGCCTAATACCATAAGGTAAAAATTGGGTTTATTTGAAAAACATTGTTTGGGAATCCATTCTTTTTCCAGAGGAAATATATATTAATGAAGGACATTATAATATTATTGTTATTTTATTATTATTTTTATTTTGTTTATAATAAAATAATGTTTATGGTGGTGAAAAATTATTTTTAGAAAAAAAAAAAAATATTAAAAATAAAAATTAATTTTGAATTTTTTAAGATTTTTTTTTTTTATTAAATTAATCATCATTTATTGGATGTACTATAATAATTATAATAATAACATACAATAATAGTAATAATAATTGGAATTATAAATTATTTTTTTTTCAAAATGGAGAAACAAATATATATTAAACAAAATACAAAGACCCATTCGGTACTGTGTATGTAATATTATATATAAATACAAATATATAAAGTGATTCGATTATTAATTTAATTTTTAAATATTAGATGTGAAACAGGTTTGAAGGATATAAGATTTCATCATACTGATTTAAAAGTAAAAAAAAATAGAGAATCAAATAAAATGTTTAAGAGTTGCTGAATCAAAAGGTAAGTTTATACACACATTTATATCATTCCACACATAACAATAAATCCATCAGTTATTAACATTATGAATTTAATAATCTTCAAAAATATAATTTCAAATATTAAATAAAGCAGAAGGTTATGAATCTTAATTTAAACCCACTAATATTATTTTTAAAACTACACCAAAGGTGATGCAATTTTAAAAGATAAAATAAAGTATAGTAAATATTTAGTTTTTCAATGTACATACCCAAAGACACCATCAAACCGATTAATTTATAAACAGTCTTCGAGAAAGAATAAAGATTATAAAGTATGCAATTACGATTTCAAAGATTTTTAATAATTCCTCAAAGCTTGAAGGTCATAGCTCGCCCAACCTGCTCATGTAAATGATCGTGTAGAAAGTATTCAATCAACTGGAATTTTAGATTACTTTTTTAACAATTACCAAAGTAGCTCCACATTTCGAGAACATAGCAATCGGTTCATTTTCAAATGTTTCTGGTATTTTATAAGATACAATTGAAATTGCCGAATTACTCAAACAATATAATGTCTTAGTTTCTGGGACTATGCATATATACAAATATGGTGCAAATATACAAATCGATATGAATCCGTTAAATGACAGTAGTTTTAAAACAATGTTCCTTATAGACCAGGTGCAATTATAAACTCTTTTATTTTAAAAAAAATATTAAAAATATAATTTTTAAATAAATTTATTTGATGTATTTATAAATATAATAAATGTTTTAAATATATATATTTAGTTAAAAAGGTACAATAATTTGTAAAAAAAAAACTTTAATATAATAATTAAGATAAACAAGAACAATAAAAAATTTTAATTTATTTATAATTTTCTTTTTTAAATTACTAAATTTAATTACTAATTTATATATTTTGTATACATAGTTTTATTTAATTTTTTATTGATTAATGACCTCTACAATATTGATTGATAAAAGAATTGATAAAACCCATGTAATTTTCATGTTTTGCGATAATCATAAGACATCTAAAAACTATTTGAGTATTGAATAATAATTGGCAACCTTGATAAGATAGGGGGAGACTGAGATACAAGTCTGAATAGAATTTGAATGCACCTTCTAAACAAATACAACTGGAAAGTTCTATTGATTCACAAACTATCGAGTCAACAATGGCAATATTTTCTTTTCCGTATAAACCCCTGTGATTATTATACATAACTGAAACTAAGCTTCTAAAGTTAGAAGAAACTGATGAGGGGTTAACATTGACTGGATTCCCAATAGTGATTATTTCTCTGTGGCATGAATTGAAAAATTTTAAAGTTGGGACCAATTCATGTATTCTTAATGAAGGAAGAATTTCTATTAAATGTTCCTTACAGAGATTTGCCTTTTCTGATTTGTCGTTATACAAAATAGATAAAAATCTAATTATGTTAATTGAACGGCAAGTACCACTAATGAAAAAAAATAAAGATACAATAATATAGCTGATATTATCTTGTATTTTACTGTTTTTACGCTTTTGTTTAGATCTAAGTTTTTCCAAAAGCCCTAATGAGTCAATAAAAATACAGTCTATAACATCTTGGAATCCATCAATTTGGCCATTTGAAATGTAATATCTTATTTCTTTTTCAAATCTATTGAAATTTGCGATCATTTCTTCTTTTTGAATAAAGTTGATTTCTAAACCAGAAATGACATTTTGGAGACTTGAGATAAAATCTTCAATAGATTTGATATTTGAAAAATTGCTACTATAATTATTATCAAGGGCATTATTATTATTTTTATTTTTATTATTATTATTATTAATGTTATTATTGTTGAAAATTTGGTTCTTGATTCTATTTTTGATTGAAAAAAAGTAAGCCATTATTAAAGATAAAAAAAAACTAATTAAAATAAAAACTAAAGAGGAACTGGATATATTTATAAAATTATTCATTTTAAATTACTAGTAATAAATATTGGATTGAGAATGATTTTTTGTAAATGGTGTATAGATTATTCTTTATAAAAAATGATATATAATATTTTTATTAATTTAATAAATAAAAAAATTTAAAAAAAAAAATAAAAAAATTTTTTTTAACAAATATAAAAATTATTAAAATTTAAATTTTTTTTTAAATATTAAATTTTTAAAAATAAAATTGAAATTCATTTATTCAATATTTTTGGTGAAAATATTTCTTTTTATAATAATGATCCACAAAAAATAAAAATTAAATAAACAAAATTAACATCAAAAATACTAAAATTTGAATAAACTAAAAACTAAAAATAAATTACTATAAAAAATTTATTAGTCATATCCTTAATTTTGAAAGGAGAAAAAATTAACACGATTTTATTAAATTTAGAATTGGCTCCAAGTGTAATGTAATCACTGCTTATTATATATCATTTTAGTTCATAATTCAAGATAAGAAAATTTATAATCATTTTATACATTAATCAACTAAGTTAAATACTTTTTATAATTTAAAACAAATAATTAATTATATATTATAATTTATTAATATTTATTTTTTTAAAATATTAAGTGTTCCGAAGAAAAGAAGGTCCTATCAAAAGAAAATGAGGAAATTAAAATTGAAAAATAAATTAAATCATCAAAAATAGAAATAATAAAAATAAAAATAATTTAATATAATTAAAACCGTTCAAATTTATTTAACAATTAATGAATAAAAAAATAAAAATAAAATAAAATAAAATAAAATAAAATAAAATGAGATTTTTTATAATGTACAAAGTTTTTTATTAATCTATATTTTCTAAAAAAAGTTTATGATCTAGTTTTCCATTTTGTTTATTCTATTGTGAACCATTTCAGACAAAACATTTTCCAATCTAACTATCTCCTCTTCAGATTGTCTTAACATAACTTCAATCGATTCATTTTTTAATATTCTCTTATTATTTTTTTTTAGAATTTCTTCTATTTCTTTTTCAATTTCTTCATTCTCCTCAATTATAGCAGCGAGTTTCAATTCTAATAACTCATTTTCTTTTTCAATTTCTTCTAATTGAGATTTATATATTCTAGTTATTTCTTTACAGTTTATTTTTTCGGTTGTAAGTTTGTTTTCCTCTGTTTCATAGCTGTCTTGAGCGTTTTGAAGGGATTGTTCCAATTCTTTAACTTTAATTTCCATATTTCTTAAAGATATGGCATGGATGACTTTGTTATTGTCTACTTGTTTTAATAAATATAACTTTTCAATTATTTCTTCTTTTCCATCCTTTATTTCATTTTCTAATCTGGAGATTTCTAAATTCTCTTCATAATTATGTGGTCTTTTAAATCTTGAATTTAGATTTTCTAATTTCATTTTCTTAATGATAACATCATCTTTTGCTTTATCAATCTCCTTTTCTATGTCATCGGCAATTTTTTGGTTGTTTGCTTCATCTATTGCTCTTGGATCAACATCTGGAATGGTTCTTCTCTTTTTATTTGGTCTGTCCATATTTGAATATAAATTATTTTGTATCTAGATAATTAAAAAAAATCTTAAATTATTAGTAAATATTGTTAAAAGAAGGCCTGTGGGGTTGAAATAAAAATAAAAAGAAATTTTTTTTTTTTTTTTTTTTAAAAATTAAATAAATTTTTTTAAAATCAAATAAAAATCAAATTTAAATTTTTTTAAAATTAAATAAAAATAAAAAAATTTTTTAATTTGAAAAAATTTGTAGTACGCACTCCACATTATTTACCATAGCGTAATGGGGTGATTTCGTTTTTTTAATTTTATTATAAAAATATATATAAGTCATATAAAAATCCTTTTTTAGAAAAATTTTTTAAAAATTATTATTTAAATTATAATAATAATTTATAAAAGTTTTCAATTTTAAAATTTTATATAAATTTCTTGAACTTCATGATGGAGCTACTATATTTTAAAAGAAATAAAATAAAAATCATATAAACACATAAATCTTTGTTATTTTTTATATTTAAATTTAATTTTTAATAAAAAACAATAATAATATGATGAATTTTTCGGTACTGGAATATCAAATTTTATTATTATTAATAATCATTAAAAAAAATAATAATAGAACAATGTCATGATAAAAATTAAATAATAATGAAGTGATAAAATAATAATAATAGAGACAATAGTTTTAAACTTTAAAAATAAAGAAATTTAATATTTTTTTAATAGTTAAAAATAAAGGTCATATTAATTATAATTTTACAACAATTAGTAATTCAAAAATTTTTAGATATTAAAAACAACAAATATTACAATTCATATTTTTTAGGGGCAAAATTATAAATCTTTATTTTTTTTTTGGCATTGTTTTTTTTTTTTAATAAAATATTTAATCAATTTCAAATTATAAAATAATTTCAAATATACATCACCACACAATGGCTTTTAAATTACATATTCTCCAAAAACATTAATCAAAATCATTTTGTTTAAAAAACAATAATAATAATTTATTTATTATAGTGTATATTAATAAACAATTAATTTATATTAAATTTAAATAAAAAAATAAAAATATATGTAATCAGTAAATAGTAAAAAATTTCTAAATGGGTTTTACATTTTTTTGTATATTTAATGAACGTTGTTGTTAGTGTCTAAAGTGTTTTTAATTGTGGTAATTACTATTTTGGTTATTTTGTTGATTAATGTTTTGTTTTTTGACTTCATATTAATAACATTTCTAAAACATGCAATAAATTACATAAATAAAATTGTTTTTTGTTAAACTCTAAACAAAAAAAGAAAAGATAAAATCTAATACTATGTGTGTGTGTGAATTTTTTTGTTTTTTTTTAATATTTCCCCCTTATTTTTTTTTTTTTAATAAAATTTTATCAAATATTAAAAATCTAAAAATAGATAAACTTATATTTTAATAATAAAAAATAAATAAATAATAATTAAATTTTATGGTTTCAACCAATACAGTTCAATAACCTTTGTTTATTAATAAAGAGTATAAATAATTTAACCAATTTTTCAAGAAAAAATAAAAAAAAAATTACTGTTTAATTTGTTTTTAGTGTGTTGTGGGTATTATTTTTGTGTGGATGTGTGTAAATGTAAAATTTTAAATCTTTGGGTGTTTCAAATCTTGTTAAAGTGACGTTTTTTATTGAAATTAAACTATTTTAAATTTAATTTTAAAATTAAATTATAATTATATTATATATTTAAATCAATAATTTTATATTTTTTCTTTTATATAAATAGAGATAAAAAAAAACCATTTTCAAAATAATAAACATTTTAAATAAGCAAAATAAACTAAAAAGAAAAAAAATGACAATCATCAGTAAGTTTTTATAAAATAAAATAATTTATTAAAATTCATAAAACTAATTTCTTTTTTTATTTCTTTTTTTTTTGTAAAAAATAAAAATAGGGTCATTGTAATTTTAATAAAAATGTTATCAAATAGATCAAGGACAACGAATC